ATTATTAGTGTCAATGGGGCTACGATGCCACTAATGCAGAACCTGCAAATTGGGCGGGGGGCCCAGGCGGTGCAGGCCGTTGGGTCGGAGCGGGGGCAACAACAGCAGCAACAGCGGGGCCAACCGGTACCCTCGACGACTGGTGGCTGGGCGATAGGTGGGCCCCAAGGGTCAGCGGTTCCCACCCAAAAGCAAACACAGCAGCCCGCGGATCTCAGGAGCCAAACAACAGAGCTGAGCCCCACGAACGGCACCTTCCAACAAACCCCCTTTCAGCCTCTATCTCCACTAACTCACCCCTCCCTGACAACAACTAAGCCCGACATCTATGCCCGCACCTTTGTTCCCGAAACCCACTCCGCTATAAACGACGCCCCCGTCCCAGCCGAATATATAATCTCCTCTCTCCCCCCCCAAACAATCCACTACCCAACCTACATATCCTCCTTCGCCGGCACCGCCTTCCTCTCACCGCTCCTCACCCTCACAGCTCCCCCCCTCCCCCCCACCCCTCCGGCCACCTTAAATACCCAAACCTACACTCCCTACTTCAATGCTCTCCTCCACCAAGAACACATTGCTCAAACCCTCGAGAATAAATCCTACGCCCTCCACCTCGCTCGCTTCGAACCTGTTACACCAGATTATTTCTTAACACCACATTTCACTCTCTCACTGCCTGGATTGCGGGACGATGCACCGAGGGTGCTGGTCGGGGATGTGGTAAAGGTGAGGCAGGTGAGACTTGATGCGATGCGTGAGCCGTGGGGGATGAGAGCGTGGGTATCCCCCGGAGGAGGAAGGGAGAGGGGGGTTGCGGCGCCGGGGTTTACGGGGAGGGAGCATTTGGGAGTTGTTTGGGGAGTGGACCGGACAGGGGAGAAGCTGGTGGTCAGGGTTGATGGGTTGGTAGGGGAACAGCTGGTTTTTAATGTTTGTTTTGAGGTGCAGATCGAGAGGACGTTCGAGAGGTGGTGGAGAGCTATAGCAGACGTGGGGGAGATGCTTGGGGCCACCAAAGGGGCGCCGGTGGGGCACGGGGCTACAAATGGTCTTGATAATGGGTATGGAAACTCCGCTATTATGGTATGTATACCCCTGGATTACATTATTCCTACTCACGCCTCCGTCTGTCCAACGAAGAATGTCTGCTAATATCTTGTTTGTTTTTATTCGGGGTGTAGAGGGAGAGCTCGGATGCAGAGTGGATGAGGAGAATGCTCTTTCCGGAGGAAGGGGATGGGGTTATGAGGGTTGGGTTGGGGAGGGGAGTGTTTGGGGAGAGGAGGTGGTTTGATAGTGGGCTGAATTATGAACAGAAAGTGGGCTTTCCCCGGTTCTTCTGTTGCTCTCTTGTCAGATTCGCTCCTCTTACTTTCTCGCTGGTGGTGTTTTTCCTCGGGTTTGACTGCCTATCCATTCACTCTATTCCTCTTCATCTTCTCACTTCCCTCCACCCCCCTATCCTCCGGCTCCTCCATGCCCTATTCGTTGAACGAATAACTACACCTGCCGCAGCTATAACACCACCAATTCCCCGATCATAGCTCCCTTGCCTAGCTGACCTCGCCTCATTTAGAAATGCGTTGACTCCGTAGGTCGACAAGACTATGGCTCGATTCCATTTTTAATCTCCGGACCCCCCGGCACCGGGAAGACGAAGACGATTGTCGAGATTGCCCTACAGCTAATCCATAATCCATCTCTATTACATACACATATCTTGCTCTGCGCACCCTCCGATCCGGCAGCAGACATCCTTGTTCGCAGGCTGCGAGAGCATATCCCTCAACCACACCTCCTACGACTAAATGCCCCATCCCGTTCCATCATTGAGGTCCCCATTGAACTGCATTCGTACTGCTACACTGGCCCAGAGGGTAACCTCTTTTCCCTACCAGACTTTAAGCAGCTGATGACGTATAAGATCGTTGTGACTACTTGCCGCGATGCGGGAATATTGGTTCAAGCCAGAGTTACAAACCGAGATCTAGTCCGATTAGAAAAAGGAATCTTGGACTCTCTTCACTCTGATGGTCAGAACAATTTGGGGTCGTTTTTGCATTGGACAGCGCTTCTTGTGGACGAAGCTGCACAAGCAATGGAGCCTGAAGTCGCAATCCCGCTGGCTGTCGTCGCTCCGCCCGCCCAGGGCGGTATCGGAGATGTTATAGTTGTGATGGCAGGAGACCAGAACCAGCTCGGACCGCGAATTTCCTCAAGGGACAAAAACCTAGAGCGAAGCTTGTTCGAACGGCTTTTTGATCGCCCCATCTACCGCGACCACCAGCTATCGCGGAAGCGAGCCAATGCCTCAGACTGGATACCTTCAACCAGAAATGCAGGTCCAATGATCAATCCCCCATTCGCGAACCTTTTCCGAAACTACCGCTCCCACCCCGCCATTCTCGCTCTCCCGAGCGCTCTCTTCTACAACGACACCCTCATTCCGGAAGCTACCGACACCGACAAGCTTACCTCCTGGTCCGGTTGGCGCGGCCGCGGTTGGCCCGTCCTCTTCTCAGCCAACCTTGCCGACGACGAAATCGAATACGAAGGCGGAAGCTGGTATAACGTTGCTGAAGCCAAGAGAGCCTGCGATTACGCAATGTCCCTCTTCCGATCAACAACCATCGACCAAAAAGATATCTGCATCATGAGTCCCTTCAGCGCACAAGTAAAATTCCTCCGTTACACCATCCGCCGCGCGCCCTACAATCTTAGCGGCGTGAATATCGGCCCCATGGAAGCCTACCAAGGTCTCGAAAGCCGCGTTGTAATTCTCTGCACTACGCGAACTCGCGCGCGGTTTCTCGACCAAGACCTCGCGAGGGGTCTGGGGATGATTCATGAACCGAGGCGGTTTAATGTCGCGATGACGCGCGCGAGGCAGGGGCTGGTTGTTATTGGGAACCCGGATGTTTTGGGGAGGGATCGGGCGTGGGGGGCCTTGATGGCGTTTTGTTGGAGGCATGGGTTGTGGGAGGAGGAAGGGGATGGTGGTGGTGGAGAAGGGTGGGAAGGCGGGGAGGAGATTATTTCGAGGTTGGAAAGGGGGTTGATTATTAGGGAGGAGGGGTTTGGCGGGGGAGGGAGAGTTTTTGGAGTTGGCGGCGTGGAAGAGGAGGACAGAATGTGGGATGCTGGGGTTGCAGCTCAGGAGGAGTACGAGGGCTGGCCTTAAGGTAAGTTAAGTGGTAGAATATAACTGTAAGGTTCTTTAAGTAGCTCGTTGGATGGAAAGTGGAATTAGGGCGCTTTTGTAAGAGGGCGCCGCCCGACGCAAATGTAGCCGTGACGACAAATTCCCTGCCACCCCTCCCACCACTCTTCCTCGATCACAATTTCTCCCTCCCCACGCCTAACTTCAAAACCCTCCTCGCATTCCCCCCCAAAAAGTCACCCCTAACCCTGTCCCTTAATCCCAGCACCTCCACCTGCTGGACGCACTTCTCCCAGCTCAGCTGCGGGAAATTAGTGCCGAACATTACTTTTTTCCGCCCAGTCGTGTTTATAAATTGTATTAGTTCCTGAACCACCACAAACCACAAGGAAAGGTGAAATCAAGGCATCAGCATCTCGTGTATTCACTAGCTTTTGGTGAGTGACTGCGTACAGGAGGATAATATTTTGGCAAGTGCGCGCTTGTGTCGATATACACGTTCTCGTGTTTCCACGCCACGCCTATCATCTCTTGCGTCCAGGGGACGCCGATGTGACCGCAGATTATGCGGAGGGCGGGGAATTTTAGGGCGATCTCATCGATGTACTAGGTTTTCTTTTAGCTTACAGTGGGACTATAGGGCTTGGTTTCGGATAATGTACTGGTATGGGGCGGCCAACTTCGCTGGGGCAAAGGGGACCGGTGTGTCCGACTTGAGTTAGCTTTAAAGGATGTTAGAAATAGGGCTTTGGTATTGTTAGTAGCGATAGGGGCGTACGAAAGGAATGTCCAATTCAATGCAGGCCACGTAAAGCGGCCAGCTTTTCCAAGATGTCAGTTTCCACACCGCGACACGAGAAAATAAGAGTTTCTCTCTCACTAATGCCGATCACTCGGCGGCAAATTCCACAGCCACGGCACAACCCTAAGCCCCTTAAAACCCTCCTCCCTAACGTACTTCCGCAGCTCCCTAACCGCCTCCATGGGGTTCAGCAAGTCTACCCCCGCAATCCCCACGATCCGATCCGGATACGCTCTTGTGAACTCGGCAACCTCCTCGTTGGAGAATAAAACCTGACCTGGTCGGTGCCATGCACAGAGGCAGATTTGTGAGACCATAGCGTCGTCCATTAGCTGGATTAGCTCTGCTGGGGTTCGCCGTTTGGAGAGGAGGGCTTTGTTGGCACGGCTTTGTTCGAATAGGCGGGCGACTTCTAGTACGCCTTCCTGCGGGTTTGAGGGGAGGGTCAGCTTGTTTGGGAGAGAGTGGTTACAGGTTAGTTGGGTTGGGCGGGCGTACAGAAATTGGTAAAACTGGGTTTGCCCAAACATCTATGATGGAGAGCGACATGTTGATTTAGCTCACTGCAGTGATAGTTGTCGGATAATCGCGACCCTATACGTGTGGGGAGGATCAGACCGGTTTAGAGTCACGCCTTCATTTCTACCGAGGTCGCCAGGAATAAGACACGTGAGCTCCACTCCGTGTTAAACCAATAGTTAAACATGCGTTCCCAATGAGAAGGAAATGTTATCTCTATCGCTGTCGGGAATTCGACCGATTCATAAGTGCTGCTAGCAAGGGGCAGGGTAAATCAGGATAATGTTTGGCGCCGTCTGCTTGAGAGCGCAAGCTACGTTCAGTAGATAAACTAGTCTGGCCTCACCGATAACAGGGTTAGCGGGAGGAGCGGAAGCCCCGTGGCGAAATGCGAAGGGGACTAGGATGTTGAGAGTGTCAGTTAGAGAACTTAACGTTACCATGTACCGCTTAGGTAAGCCTGGGGACCGATAAGCGGGTTTATTAGGCAAAGCAGCGATAGACTAATATATTAAGTCTTCCTTGGTCTAGTGGTCATGATTTCCGCTTGTCATCATGTGATAAAGCGCGGGAGACCGGGGTTCGATTCCCCGAGGGAGAGTTTTTTTTTTCTCTTTTTCTTTTTCCGATTTTTTCCCACAACCAATGCTTTAGGGCCAGTGTGCTAGCCATTTATCCGCCTTCACTAGTTCTTTCTCACCCTTTGTTGTGTTCATCGTCTAACTATTGCCTATTGAACGATGATATATTGACGCCGAGTCTTCAACACTATCATTACTACTACTTCTCACTATCTCCGTTCGTTGCCCAAACTGGTTGTAATAGGGAACAACCATCTTCCGATCCTCTCGCCGCTGCCTAAAATCCTTGCTGCTATGAGATATCGGCCCTCTCAATCTTTCGCGTGTTCGGAAATTTGGACTGTGTTGAGACATCGAAGCCGAGCTGGAGGAGCTCTACTATGTTATGCGCTCGACCCGAGATTTAGGTGGGGTTCTTCGGCAACGGGTGTACGAATGGCCTGAGAGAAAGGTTACCCAAATCCGCGATATTCTTAAGCCGCTCACTATCATCGCCTCGACACACTAGAGGTTCAACTCCCTTGCCCCGCCCTCTAACATCCCGACTCCCATGACATGGTCTTCGAGATAGACCTGTTTACTTCTTCCCCTGCCATCCGAGTTGTGCTTGAGAAATTCAAGGGAGTGGTGCGAGAGATGCCAGACAACACTCTGAGCTACGACGAAGCGGAGAGAGTGGCGTGGATCATGGGTGTAGAGAACCTGACGCTGGCTTGGAACTTTGCGTACCTATTGCTTGATCTAGTCGGCTATACCAAAGGCGAAGGATGGGAGATTCATGAGCGCTTCTTCCGCAACAAGGTTGCTGGGAGCAAAGTCCTAGAATATGGCGATGAGCCAGGTGAGATCAAAAAACCTTCTACGGTCCCTACGACCTACGGCTCCTCACTAAATGAGGGTAGTATCGGAGTCCCCTACGCCCCTGCTACATATGGTACTAAACTCTCACCTGACGGTGATGAGATTTCTCCACCGGAATCCTGACCATATAACGGAGAGGAAGGAATTGAAGGGCTATCTACCGCCGCTACAGGGGTTTGTAGTGCTGTTTAGGAACTCCGTGTGAACCAAACTATTGAATCACACGCTAGCCCTAACTTTGGTTAAGAACACGTAACAACTTTCGGGCAATTTGGTTGCTAATCATGGCATAGACTGAATGAATTACTAAGCTTGGCGACCCGCTCTCGCTGTAGAATCAGGGCACTTAGTATCGCGGTCTGGTTTTGGTGAAATGCGTATAGGTATGGTCTGTGGCCATCGGAGGTTGATGGCATGGGTAGGGAGACAGACGGCAATTACCTACGACGCTATTCCGCGAGTGGTTGGCGATTTGTCAGACGGGTGTTAACACGCTCGAGCATTGTGTAATGCTCACTTATAGTTTAGCGTGTGACGGTGAATATAAAACACCCACACACATTCTCTTAGCTAGTTTTTCTTCAATCAATACACATTCTACTTCACATCCGTTCCACACGATTGCACGGCCGGGACAACCCAGAATGTGGACCTATGTATGACACCTAACTATCTTAATAGAGTAATTTCTGCCGTCCAAGAAAGAAGTAGAACCACTATAGATGGCGGCAAGGTAAGGTAGAGAGTAAGCTTAGGTTGGAGTTGAATTTAGACGGGACTCATAGTAAGGCGCCCCACTTTAATTTTAGCTCGAACTCATAACGCCTTGAAAAGGCAAACGTAGTAGAGGCAGGCGAGCGCCCGGGCAAGCGGTTAGAGTATCTCGCTGCACGGTGGCTGGTAGTTGTGAGATTGCGTTTCGTATTCTGCCTAACACGTGGGCGGCATCGGCCTCTCCCGTGTGCCGTCCCGAACGGTCGGGTCGTTTAGGCTCGGGCATCGTCAGAATGCATGGTAATTTATCGGAAAGGTCATGGGTCAAGTTGTGCCATAAGCCAGATGTAGAGCATGTCTAGGACTGGATGTGGGACTCTAGGCCAATGCTTTCCTGACAGATTGAGACTATCGCTGGTTTGCGTGTTCGGTGGACGCGTGGGCTAAATCGCTTCGCGCCAGTTCGGGTTCACCATAGTTGCAAAACTCATCAATTTACTGCAAAAACTGAAAATTGAACATTATGCCTAGGGTGTGAGCTTGATGGGGCCAGGGCTTATTATTTTCGCCTGCTAGATACCTTTGCACCGGCCGTGCTCGCCCGCAGAGACGAAGCTTACTTCCGTGATTATCGCCTGTTCTAAGGGCAGCCCCCAAGCGTGCTGTTTCGGATCCGGAGTGGATGTGTGGCGCAGCGCGGTGACTCTGTCAGGAGTCTTGGCATCCCACTCTCACACTCTTATTCTACAACCGCCCAGATCATTTCGCTCCGCAGTAATCTCGCTCGCTATTCCCGCACGAGCTCCATCACACTCCTATAAGCTTATTCTGGCAGACAACCAGCTCACCATCTTTAATTTCACCGTTGCAGTAATGTCTGCTCAGCCGACGGCGGCAACTGGTCACCAGTGCCTTAGCACTGACCCGTTCCAGAGTCATGATAACCAGCAGATTTTCGATTTAATTGATCGGCTTGCGGAATGCGGCATCCACAAATCCGTTGGGATCCCTCAGGTGAGTTTTCTGGAAACTTTTGCGCTTGAAGCGACGTATGGTAAAACTAATCAATGCGCATCTGGTCCGACCCTAGATCGTGATCGTCGGTGACCAGTCCTCTGGGAAGTCATCTCTTCTGCAGAGCTTGACAGATATCCCGTTTCCCGTCGGCGACGGCCTGTGTACACGCTTCCCAACCAAAATCGTTTCACGCCGAGGGCAAAGTGGAACGGAGAAAATTGGAGTATCGATCCTAGAGCCCCTATGTGACACCAAAAGCGTCGGTGTCGACGCTTTTGCGCGGACTCTGCCGAGCTTAACCTCCGGGGAGTTTGAGGAATTGATCAAGGAGGTAAGATTTCTTGCACCTCATATAACTATAGCCGTTAGCTAACGGATGGATGATCGGCGTACGCGCTCGCAGGCGTCCATTCTCCTTGGTGTCGCACAACCCGACGAACCAGGCTTTAGCACCTCATCGTCCAAGAACTTTTCCTCTAGCACCCTCAAGGTCGAGATCACCGGTCCTGGCCGTACGCCATTCAACATAATCGATCTACCAGGCCTTTTCCACGCCTCAACTATATCGCAGAGAGTCTCAGAGATCGAGGAGATTAAGAACATGGTAAACAGTTACATCCAAGATTCTGGCACAATCATCGTGTAAGTGTTCCATGCTGGCTGCAAGTGTCTCGTTAACATAGGGTGATTACATGGTTTAGCGGTGTCGCACATGGTCTTGCCAATGTAGCCACTCAAGAGATATTTGAGATGGCTGGAAAAATTGATAAAGATGGGTTACGTACCGTCGGCGTGATAACTAAATGCGATTTGATCTCTGATACGACTGAGGTGGGCGAGGCCTAAGTTTCCCCCCCACACGGTATTGTGTTATGCAAATAACTGCCTAACTATCGCTTGCCTTATCTGCAGATACTCAAGCTTGCCAAAAATCAAACACGCCCTCTCGAGAAGCACGGCTGGTTCGTCGTTCGCAATCGCAGCGCTAGAGAACTGTTAGAAGCCGACGGCCGCGGCATAACTAATGAGGAACGTCACTCACGCGAGAACAGCCTTTTCTCCACCGCCCCTTGGACCCAGCTCCCTGATGCTCACCGTGGAGTTCATTCGCTGCAAGACTATCTTTCCAATCTCCTACTGCAGCATTCTCGCTCCAAGCTACCTGAAATCGAGCAAGAAATCCAATCTCTCATTTCAAAGAGGCAATCCGAATTAAATGCGCTAGGTCATAGCCGGGATACCGAGTTGGGACAGCGCCAATTCCTGCAGGAAGTAGCCAGAAATTTTCAGGCTGCGGCGGAGAATGCGCTCAGCGGACACTACAGCTCGAATATACTGCTGAAAGATAATAGGCTGAAGCTGCGCAAGCGAATTATCGAAGCCAACGAGAAGTTTGCAAGCGATATGCTTACACGGGGGCATGCTGTGGAGTTCAAAGTGGTAGAAGAGCTACCGCTGACAACAAAGCTCTCATTTCCAACTGCAGAGAAGTCTGCTAGCACCGCCTTGTAGATACCAGCTATCATTAACTTGGGATTTAGGAAGCCGGAACCCTCGATCTTTGCAAAAAGCTCCCCTGCGAATCCGCAACCAAAAGGGGTTTTTTTTGGTGGGACAGCAGCACCAGCACCAGAAAAGTCTGTCGACGCCATTCGACAAATAGCTTGCTCAAGAACTTACTGACAGTGATATAGGAAGGCGTTTGCCTTGTTTAGCGCGGCAGCTCCGCTACAAGCACCGGAAAGGTCTGTTAATGCCTATTCGATAAATAGCTCTACTAGAGAACTCACTAACAATGATCCAGTGTTGCCGGTTTCGGTGCCCCACTAGATAAGTCTGTCAATGTCTATTCGGCGTAGATATGGCTTGCTCAAGAGCCCACTGACCAAGATCTAGGAATGTGTTTGGCTCAAGTCTGAGGGGAGAGCCAGGAGAAGCCCCGGCAGCTCCGAGCACTATTAAATTCCCCCCCCGGACGGCGGAGGTGCGTGTTGAAGAGTCCAATAGCAAAATTAGGCTTCAGTGGCTTTTCCCAGAGAATCTCCACTGGTCATTTGAAGAGATAAGACTTGTTGATTACCTACAGTTATCGAAGGAGACTAAAAAAACGACCCTCAGCTCAACCCCCCCTATCGACTCGGAGATCGACAATTGGATCCGAGAAGAAATTGCTAACAATCGAGGCACTGAGCTGCCGGGCATTCCGAACCCCGAAGTCATCCCAGCGCTCTTCCGGCGACAAACCCGAGACTGGGCATCCTACGCCCAACAACACGCTCAGGCCATCCGGTCCATCATCCAAGATAGCACGAAAGTTTTACTAAGCGCCATCTGTGAAGACAATGCTGTCCGCCTCAATCTTGAAGCCAAGCTTTCCCTGTTCAACCTTCAGGCCATTAGGGAAAGCGAACCGGAACTCGACTCGTTA